TTTACGTTTGTGTAATTTTGATGTTGATTGTATCATTGTAAATAAACAAACGTCACATTCAGCCCTTATTTCTCCATTATTTTTTCGAAATAAATTTCGAATAACTAGAGGGGATACGTGACCATCACACAAGTAGTTCTCACAGTACGTCTGTCAAATAAAAACTAGCTAAGTAAAAGATTCCTAACTACTGCCCCTACCTACTAAGTTAGGACTCTTTATTGCAAATCCTTACTCAGAAGTTGTTACCATTTTATTTTTGACAGTACAGTACTAATAATCTTCTTTGAGTTATCATATTATATTTTTTAAATTTCTCATGATGCAGATGTTTTTCAACGAAAATTTTGCTTTATCGATGGTACAGTTTAAAGATAAACAAGAAATATGTACTATTTTGCTTTTCTGCACTTACAGTAATCCGAACATTTACTTAGTAACAGTATTACGCACATGCCCATTAAAAACATAATAACAAGATCAGCGCAAACATAAAGAAGCATCAGTGTAGTTTTGTCCCTCATTTCTGAAGAAAAATCTAATTACTTTTTTGAAGATAATCAAGCCTTCCTATGATTGATTCTCTGGAAAAACTTTTACGAAACGTTTCAGAAGTTGATGACAAGTGATTTAGTTTTAATAGATTTCCCTTAAGGAGCAGATTTAATATTATCGTCGTCAAGAAAAGCGACGCCCTTTCTTAGAAACTACATTTCTAAAGATTCGTGACACAAAACTAGAAACTTTCGACCACTTACAAATGTAGCAAATCTTACAGCTGATGGAAAAAGAAATTTAGATGAAACTGGAAACTGAGGAGATGTTTCAAAAGATGTTTCGTTGTTAATTCCGTGGTTGTTGTCGTTCTTATAGTAGTAATAACCGGTTCCGGTGGTCACACTTTCTGCGCTACTATCGGATTCCTCTTTAGCGGTAACAGACAACATTGTGGTAAATCCTTTGGCACAATCGCCAATGGTAGGTATTTAATAACTTAATACTTGGTTTTAAAAAATTGCAGAAATTTAACAACTAATTTTTTGGTTTTAAAAATTTTTCTTTATTTTGTAGTAGTTCTCAAATTCACTCACTCGACTTTTTATACCCATCACCGAAGGATGAGAGGTATATTCATTTTGTGAAAAAATTGCAACGACTAGAAAGAACCATCAGACACTCCAAACAGTATATATATTCTTGATCAACATCAAATTCCATGTTAAAACTCTTGAATGCACTTCAACTGCGCCTGTGTGTTTGCGTAACTTAGCAGTATTTGTGGTAAACATTCTCCCATCATACGGTGACCAATCTGTTAGAGTTTACTTCTCATGTTTTCAAGGCTTTTTCTAGTGGTTCTCGCACTGATGTCATTTACACTGACTTTAGCAAAGCGTTTGGTATGGTTAATCATAGACTACTTAGATTTAAACTCCAGACCTCTGGCTTTCCTCTCTTCTTAGTGGAATGGTTAAGCTCTTATCTGCATGGTAGATCATTCAGGGTTTTGTTTAACCTCATTACCGCGGATGAATTCCCCGTGACGCCTGGCGTACCTAAAGGTAGCCACTTGGGACCTATTTTATTTAATTTATACATCAATGATTTGCCTTCCGTGATTAAATTCTTCTTTTTCCGTAGAATCGCAATCACATCATCTTCAAAGTGATTTGAACAATTTGGTTTCATGGTGCTCTCTCAATCTTCTGAAACTAAATCTAAATAAATGTAAGAAGCTTTCTTTCTTAAGAAAGAAGTCGTTCAGTACTCAATACTTCATTGATTCGCACAGGTTGGAAGGCGTCAATTGGTTCATAGATTTAGGCGTTCTATTCGATTATAGGTTACGTTTCAATTTGCATATTGAGTCCTCGTTAAGCAAAGCTAGGTCCGCGCTTGGTTTTATAAAGAGGTGATCCAAAGAGCTTGATGATCCTTATATTACGAAAAGGCTTTACACGTGTTTGGTTAGACCTATACTTGAGTATGCCTCTGTTGTGTGGTCTCCTTCATATAGGTGCTACGTTGATTCAATTGAATCTATACAAAAGCAATTGTTGCTGTTTGCCCTTAGGAATTTGGGTTGGGACCCGATTTCCCCTCTTCCACCCTATGACAATAGGTTGCTTCTGTTATCCTTACCGTCACTCGAGAAACGTAGATTTGTTCTTGGGGTTTCCTTCTTAATCAAATTAATAAATGGTGCAATTGACTCGCCCGCATTACTTCGTGAGATATGCTTTAATGTCCCTAACCGCTTCTCTAGGCACTTTATGTTGATAAAGCTTAGTCAATGCAAATATAATTTTGAACTGTTTAACCCTCTCAGAGTTGTTTGCAAGAACCTAAATGACGTCTATTATTTATTCTCATTAACGGACTCTTTAAAGTCCATTAAAGCAACATTGCTTAATACGCGCGATTTACCTATGTCGTACTTAAACTGACTTAACCTTAAATATGTCATTATGAGTCGAAAATTAATTTGTTGTTAACAATTATCGGTTGCCAAGCTTTTGCATGTTTGCGATGGCTTAGGGGTTCACTTGCAATTTGGTCCTGTATCGGTTGTGGGTGTGGCTCTATGCTAGTTGTGTACATTCTTTTTTTCCTCCTTATTTGTTTTATTGTACTTGTACTAAGTTTTATTATTAATTAATTTTAAGATTTACTTAAGAGTCAATTGAACTCGACTGCAATTTTGTTTTAGTTGAGTTTCTAGTATAAGTGGGATAAATAAATAAATAAATAAATCAGCGAAAATGAAGGTATCGCCTAAAAATTTGCAAAAGAATTTGGAATTGACCTAAACTTTTCAAAAGACGTGTTTACAACGCCCACATACCTCTAAGACAGAAACTTTTATTTTGAAAATATAAGAAGTCAACTGCTCCTACTCCGTAGTATAGAGCATGAGAATTTTGTTTTTTACTCCTTTTCTCTTTTTTGGGGTAAAAGGGGATGGGCATAAAAGATTTGACCCCGACCGAATTTAATCGTCTTACTTGTTTATATTAAAACTCCTAAAGTTAATTACTTGAAGTTTAAGTCAGCCTATTGAAAATCAAACATACGTTAAGCACCTTCGCTTCCATTGGCTATTAATAACGAATGTTGAAATTCACGTACACTTTAGCAAAAACTAAAAGTGACGTCAGTCAGATATACAACCACAATATGATTCAATCTCCCACATACGGTAAATCGCATTTTTGTGTAAGAGGCGAACCAACTGACTTGTTAGTTATATTAAGTATTGATTGTTGAGAATGGAAATATGATTTAATCGTTATTTTTTTTCGTTTAAAAAATGAAATCACAGTAAACAACAATTACTAACTATAGGTCTGTGGACGTACCGGCCCTCGCGACGCGTCCACTCTAGCTTATCTCGTATAAGTTCATCAGCTATCTCTGTATGTTAGATACGGTATTTGTAAATAAAAGAAAATTTGAGTGCATAATAATATTTAGGAAACGTTTTGTTATCTCGACTCCGAAATCCCCAGGCAAAAAAATAAATAAATAAATTTTAAGAGGAGGGACTTGCCAGGGGATTAATTTGATAATTAGTAGGAATATGTTACATATAATAAAGTGAATTGTAGCGAATGTATTGTGAACAAGGTGTTGGAATATCTTGCTCAAACCCAACTTAGGACTTCTAGAACGGTGGAGGAAAAGAGAACAACCTTGTTTATGGGGCCTAAACCAAGGTATGTGTTATAAGCTGGTGAAGTCTTAAAATAACCACGTGTGTTCAAACGTAACGACAACGACTTACTAGTTATTCCAGTTCTTCCCTCAATCTAAAAAACGTTACTGCATGATGATGATAACTTATTCATTATGTTGTACATAGATGATCTCTCTACCGATACCACATAGAACGCCTTCGAAGAATGAAAGGGTTGTAAGAATACTCAATATCCACTTCGAAACGTCTAAATATGAAAAAGGTTTTCTGTATTATTTCGAAAATCTCCATAGAAACCTTCGGCGTGGTCTGTCGACTGACAATGTCACTTTTGAAAACGTCTTACCAATGCATTTGTGGCCAAGACAGAAGGCTACAGAAGCACGTTGAAGCCACTTTTCCTACTTAATTCGAAGGATAGTGCTTCTGACACGGCTCCGGCGTTGAACAATGAATGCGTTACGACATCCAAAGTCCAAATATCGATGGTCACATTAGGCAAGTCATTAACATCGGCGATGAAGCGCAATACCTATTTATTGCCGTTTATAGGCTAAATAGATCGCACGACTCCGTGTAGCAATTAGACACAGAAAAGCGCAATTTAATTTCTATGAAATATGTAATTGAATCAAGTGAAAATAATTACCTTTATAAGCTAGTACCTAAGGGCAAACAAGAAAGTGTCATTTCAGAACTAAAAGATAACTCAGTTAAAACACTAGCAGAAAAGATAGACAACAGTCTAACAATCTCTTCCGGGGAAATATGTCAGATCACGCAGATCAAAAATCACTTAAAGTCACTACGTTAAAGAGATCGAAAACAGTATAATGTTCTAAACGCAACGCAAAACAATAGATATACGAACAAGCCAAAGTTAGCAAAAGGCAAGACGTGCGAATATTCCAGTCAATAAAAAACGTCAAGCTAGGAAAATATGATATGCGATATTTTCCCGAAAAGTGCAAAAGTAATCTGAGGCTTGATGATCTAAATGGTCTAAATGGTAGTTGCAATTAAGTACGCACATACATTCTCACTTATAGTATATTATACATCACTAACCCCGTGATGTATTTCTCACATATGGATCATTTATTTTGAGTTAGCAGTTTTAGTGGTATTGTTTATCTGAATGGACTCTGAAGTTATATGTAAAGCTACAAATGGTAAGCAATTTAACATAGAAAACACAAAATTTAAAATACCTACTACGCAAATCAAACTAGATTTTAAAAATTTTATCGGATGCATAAAATAAATTATAATTGAACCAATTATGGATAATGTTAACAAGATTGCAAAGATATATACAACGCATTTCTTCGATAGTGTACTAATAACATATTAAATGGTATATATAACATAATTTTTGAATTTATTGATAAGATGTGCATATTTATTTGAAATCACAATTCAATAAGAGGTCGGCTGTTAAGATCTTGTTGAGCTCTGTATGCCAGTACATCCTTCATAACAACTTTTCGAAACGTTTCGTGAATTTGCTCAAAACTTGTCGATTTATTTCGATTATGCGTGACGGTCGTGCCGTAGGAGTCGTTGGGATGTACTGAAGGAACTGCATTCAAATGATCAATTGGAAATTGTAGCGATTGTTGCTTATGTTGCATGGGTTGCTCATCGACATAAAACTCGCTTTTTTCTGTAACTATTGCTCTAGCCTTAGATGACGATGAAGAACCTGTTGGCGGTGGTGTTGGACAAGCACATTTGCCTGCAAAAGACGATACTGTGTAGCCATTTTGGGAGAACATAAATTTTCGATGCCCAACATATTCAAAATCGATTTGCTTAAGAGTAATAAAATGAATAATGAATGAATATATAAATAAATGAGTAATAAAATGAATATTCAAAAATGTAATCCTGTTTTTTTAGAAATTTTCAACTTTAGTAAAATCGGACCAAAATCGAAATTACACTTCATATATAAATTATATCGTCGTTCATTTCTTTATCAATTTTATATCGTGATCAATCAATTTTACAAACAAAAAACACACTAATAAATAAAAGAGCAACTGTTCCATGTTTTCAATAGTTTTCGCTCGCAAAGTAGTAAATATGAATTAATGCATTGATAATTTAACTTAGAATTGCACGCTTAAGTATCATTTGAGACATTTTTATCTATCACAAAAGTTTGAAGAAAATATGTTGTTATATCCACCACTGAAGGCTTGGTCGTACTCATTTCGTCTAAAAATTGGCATCACCCAGAAGGGTGCGTCAGAGACCCCATAAGACATGCAAAACCTGCAGCAAAAACTTACGTATTGAGACTGACAACGAGGACGAGGTACGTTTTTTGGGTTTCGATAAAAGAGAGGAAGAGGTAACTCAAATAGAAGAAAGGGTAGAAAGAGAGGAAGAGGTGGCGCAATTAGGAGATATACAAATGACGGACGATCTGACTATGGCACCATGTGTAGGTAGACTAGATGTAGTAAGAAAATATCTAATAAGCCCAGATGTTTTTATGGACGAAGATGACAACAGCGGTCCTTCAACGTCGACCCATGCTAGCCTTATGAAGCAATTGGACAGGGTTGAAGCGAAAAAAGAGGAGTTAAAGAGGCGTCTAGCGAAATATGAAGGCCAGGAGGTAGAACCGGAAGTTGAAAGCGTGCTGCCGGGCGTGGAGACATTCTGAGAGGTCGAGAGAAAATTGAATCCTCTCGACAAAATTGTACAACTGCATTTTGACGAGATCTTCACCAACAATCAGGTGCTTTATTCGCGGGCGAACGATGCAATAATTGGTTGCAATTACCTCGACGTGCGCAAGAAGAACCCGTGTGCCTGCAGAACGGTACTCGTGTTCGCTGTAGAAGCCTGGCGACGCCGTTTAACATGATTATAAGAAACCACCCCTCCACACGTTCAAGTTTAGTTTCAAAAGCACTACTAGACAACGTCAATCTAGCTAAAGACATTGGGTTCGATGTGCGACCAGTAGTTTGCGATAGGAATACCGCATATAAAGAACCTGTAGACGCATTACCGACTGGAGTCGTATTAATATATGATTACCTGCATCTCTTAAAGAGATATAAGGCAATAATAGAAAAAACCAAAAAAAAATACGACCTCAGCACAATCACAAAATTATACAAACAATTCGAGCTCACTATTAAATTTTGGCCCCAACGAGGACCAGTTTTAACGGTCTCAGCACCGCGGTACAGTGGCGAAGTGGTGCAATTCTTCAATGACGCCACGCCAGCCACTTAACTGATTGTAGAAACCATATTCACCTACTCGTGCAAACAAAGTAAATTGCTTTTGACTTTTAGACAAACGAACCACAACTAAACACAACTACCACTATGAACATCCAAATTCCCTAGAAATCTTTGTTGTTGGAGTTGAACGAACGCATTTTAGGCACTGCTACGTAGCCGGCAAAGTGTCGTCCAGCATAGTATTGAATAACAGGAATTTTAAAAGTTTCATTCCCGAAGTTTGAAGGCTGATAATAATTATCAATGTTACTTAAAATGCTGTTGTGAAGCGCCCTTCTATGTCTGATTACTTCAATTGTCCATGCTTCTAATATTCTAATTGTACCTCGGCTAGAATATCGTAGAGAAAACTCTTATTCTTTTTAGGAGCTTTGTAAAACAGTAAAGGATAAGATTTGAGAACAGCCACTTAGAGTAGCTTTATTTCTATACGTTCTACAGCTGTGTTCCTCTCTAATTCAATTGGAACGCTTTATATCTATACATTCTACGGCTGCTCTCCTCTCTAATTCAACTGGCACGATTTATTTCCATACACTGTACGACTGTTTTTGATCGGCATCAAATTCAAAATTGACTTAAGTGTGCACAACAGCCCAAATGCTCTGAAGTACACGACTACAGTACTACATAGCCTATAACCAAGTCTATTTCAATTTCTATTTCTACATACAACAAGAAACAACTATACAACTTCTCACACAATTCCATGAATGATCCTGTGACGTGAGGGAAGCTTCAAAGACCTAGAAATTTGATAGCTTCTTCAACGGTGTCAAATATTGTGTCCATCTAAGCATGCCTACTTGGATAGGGAAAGAAAAACTCGATCGTGGGGTGCAACGGGAAATATGGAATCTGAATGCAGCACCTCTTTACGAAGCCTACATGCCCTCTGCTGGGTCGAGTGTCTATCGAAGGATACTCTATGTAGTAATGAACAATCTCACATATATAAGTACAATTGTATTCAAAAGGTATTGTATAAGATACGATATTGCGATTTTACGACTTGGGCATGTTCATGCTAGCAATACAAGTCACCTCCTCGCCTTTCTTTGCCAAATACAAAGCCTATAGATGAGGAAATTTCAAAACTTTTTTCATCAGCTTTGTTGTAAAAATCTTTCGCTTTTTTCTTGCCTTTTTCGTGTTTGGGTATGTAAAAATTCAGACGAAAGTAGACAGCGAGTTGTTGATGCTTGGTCGTTACGAAAAAAGATTGAAGTCGGACTTGCACTTCATCTAAAACCAGAGTGCTCGGACTGATTATATAAAACCAGACTACCAAACGTTTCCGACGTTTAGAACAGTCTTCTGCGTTTAACGCTTTCCCTATAATGCTAGCTACAAACTCCTTTTCCAAACAATCTAGGCAAGTATGAATTGAATTCGAGAGCAGTTAACACAGTCATTGTGGAGGGTGTGTGCCGTGCTTTAGGTAAAGCATTTGTAGTGTTAAAAGTACTTTCACTACGAAATTCTGATGGTAGGATGGAAGGCTGATCTTAAATAATTCCTAGATTTGGAAGATATTGAAGATGTGGACGGAAAATTAGACGGTTTAGCTTCCGTAATTTGTTTTGGAGGGGGTTTCTGTGTTGGTGAATTTAGGGGACGAGCCACCAAACCGGCTGCATTTGAATTAACCACTCCTGACTCAGATACACTGCGATCAGCAAAATGGTGATGTAAAATGTGAGGCAAACAGTGAGCCGCACATTTTAGTTGTTCTTGGCTTGAGACTTAAGCGAATCCCTTTTCTATGCTGTGCGTGTACTCCGAGAATCCTTCATTAAAGACTCTTCATTACAATGCCTTTGTATTTGATCCAAATGCAAAGTCCCACGTGAAAAGCTTTACAAACTTTACGTGTGGTGGAAAATCATCGAAAAGAGACGTAAATAATTGATGTCGTTGAGCGTTAGGCGATGTTAAATGACACGAATTCCTTTGCATTGAATTCGTAATATTTGTATTCAAGTTTACCGTCGTATCAGTGAGGCGGTTCGATTATTATATTCTAATTCGGATAGAGGGTTTGGTTCAAAATCCGTCTCCTCGTCTCCATAGTTGTTGGAACTTAAGCCAACGAAGCCGCCGTCCGTACCAACTAAGAGTTGAAGAGAAATATCAAAATCAGCTCCATCCCCACGATAAGCGTAAATGCAATCATCGGAACACATCACCGTCCTCGCCCAAAATAATTACATCATCGCTATAAAAATTACCGATAACATAACTGAGGTTTTCGGTGGAATTATTTAAAGTACGATTAGAAAGGCCACGTAATGCGGCTATCGCAGGTGTTCCAAGCTGTGCTTTCATAATAGGAGGAAAAATAATAGTAAGATAAGAGAATAAAACTAATAGTATAGATTTTCAATGTTTCATTCTGAAAAACTGAAGTGAACGCAAATTTCTCACACTAATAGGATCGAAGAAAAATTTTTCAACTTGTCGAAAAAAGAGTATTTGCAGATAAATATTTGGGAGAAAAGCAAAAGTTTGCATTCATCAAAATAATGTATAGAACCACTGCCGAGTATGCCGAGGAAAGGGCAATTAGAATTTTGAGGCATTCGTTGGCTTCTAGGTGACAATTTTTGTGCATTTTGTGAAATCATAGAAGCTAAATACGACAGATGCCACTAAGGGGTTGAACAAACGCTTCATTTTTCAATTAAGCGGCTTTTTGCACAATTCCGACAACTCCGCAAACTTTTCAATTAAACTAATATGTGAAAAAGTTTGCAGTTTTCTATTTTCAAAGGCGTTCTCGCCAGCGAGACAAAAAACAATTTTACACAACGTTCGCTCTATATTTGCTAAATAATTATTGCTATGTATACAAGATTTTCCACAGATCGTGTCACCGCATTTGCTATTGCAGACGGCTTTGTACAAGTAACGCCTATTTCCAAACTTAAAACATGAAATATAATTGATGTACAACTTCTAACAAATAAAATGAACTGAAAAAGTCAACAACATATAGTACATATAATAGTTCGCGAAAGGCAAGATGACGTTGGCCAGGATTTCTGTTTCGAAGTGTGTCACGTATCGATTGCGTATTATGTCAACGTTGCTTATAATGAATGGCACTACGTATGAGGAACTGTTATTGAAATGCTGAGTACACAGTTTTTTAAACGCATGATGTAACAACTCCTTGTCGTAGAAAACTTGCAATTTGTTCCCTAAAGCATAAAAGATGTGTTAAAAATAAATTTATAAAATTCGAAGTGAATTTCAAACAATCACTTACTAAAGCCTGAATGTACGTTTGCTGCAATATTTTTGTAAAAAACAAAAGATTTGCAAACCTTTTCAATGCCTACTAATGAGCCATATATATATGCACGTATATATAAACGTCAGATTGAAGGACATACGCAAATTTGCGCAAATATTTGATAGTTGACTTCGCGTTGTGTAAATGAACGACAATGCGTCGAATTAATCGGAGACCAAACTTGTTATTTTAGGAACAGTATCGTTAAGTCTTAATATTCGTATAATACTGTAAATTCTGCGGACGGAACAATTATTCGTTTATTCATATAAAATAATATAGTTTGTCCTTCCGATCACTGCGTCAGAAATAATCAACGCACCCTTAGCGGTTCTGGATACCGACGGAATATATTATCGCATTGCTTTTTATACTTTTTGCACAAAATTTTTTAATTCTGAAGTGTAACATATACAAGAACTGGGGTTATTAGAGTTATTAACATATTGAAAACGGTGCTTTTATTTTTGATTGAATCATCAACTGACATATGTTTCTTACAGTCCAACTTAATGTCCAATATAAATGTATAATATAATTCTTATTTAACAAGTGTAATCTCGATTTCTCTCGCTTTAACAGAAATGGCAGCCCGATTCCGCAATTAACAGAAATGGCAGCTTAATTTCTCTTACACTCTAATACTTTATTCATTTTATTCTCACTCACATAACTGAATCGAAACGTTGCAATTTATTGAATGGAACTCTGCTCTTTCTCTATTCACAACACATGGTACTTTTTTATAACCTATTCCCTGGCACCAATCGTTACATTGTTCCCATAAACGAACAATAAACTCTATATTTCATAATGCTTCTTTGTCAATATGATGCAGAAGTATTCTTAGATGTTATTATAATAGATTAAAATATTATGACAATTTTAATATATCATAACAGCGAAAAACGATTAACCTTAACAGTAAATAATACAAAAACGATTTTTAGAAACTAAGATGAAAGGTTCTCACTGAAGTAACTAACTAGCGTTGCACTTATTGCGAAAATGCGTAATGAATTTGACTATTACGGATATTTATCTCCGATAAGTAAAATGTCTTCCCATTTTCTACTCTTGCTCATTTACTTTGGGCTTCTGAATTCGGTTTATTTGAACAGCAAACAAATTAAATGCAGCCTAATCTTTGTGCTTAGTAGCATTCACTGTGTATTCGCGATTATTATAGATGAACATACATTGAATTTATCTAAGACAGAAATTTCCTAGCAAATCTATATACCATTGTTATCGTATAAACAGACCAGAGCGCTCTCACATGGATGTTAAATCGGATAAATCAAATTAAATCAAACTTGGAGTTTTGAGCCACAATAAAAATAAACATAACTCGCTATTGGTATAAATTTTATTTTATATTTTATCTTTTACAAGCTGACATATATAATTTTTTAAATTCGAATTTGACACAAACACTATATTATACAGAAAATTCTAAAAGTATATAACCAAGTTCATAGCCATGTTTGTAATCATGATAAATTTTACACTATGCGCGTGTTATTCGGAAGGTAGAATAATTCGTAATCAAGAAAATTTATAATTAAATAATGCTATTGGCAAATCATTATTATTTTAAACTAATATACAGAAAAACCTTTTTGAGCTTAATCTACGAAATAGACAACTGATTTAAAAAAAGAGGTTTTACTTACTTACCTTGCTGAATATCGGTAGCTGTTCGTTGTTTTGATACAATTTGGTTTCCATTAGTGGAAAATGTCGGATTGGTGCCCAAATTACCACTTGGCGGCGGTGGTGCCGGTCGGTTAAAGGGATTTTGTCTTCGTGGTGGAGGTTTAGGTATTGACACATCTGCATTTGCTTTGAGTGAGTCGGTTAGCACCTCTTAAATTTAAGTAATTTCAAATATAAGTGAAGGTGGAAAGATACCACGAAAAACTTACTGTTCTTTGAACCCTCTATCTCTTCTAGTTGTCGCTGTAATTCAGCTACCATCAATTTTTTGTATTCGTAACCAGCGCATGTTAATGCTTTCATCCAGGATTCCATACTTTCTTGAGAATCAGCGGATAATACATATGTTCGATTACCGTTAAATGCAATTTCGAAACAATATCGGTCGCTTTCTTCTGACAGTTCTAAAAGTGGACGTCTTAGTAAATGGTACTTTATTATTTGAGTAACATGTACTTATCAATTTTTTTTACCTATTGTGCATCCTTCCACTATAATTAACCCCAACGGTTCTTTGTCGCCTTGCTTCTCAAAGTAAAATAGTAGATTTCCCTTGAGTACAAAGTAACGCCTTTGAAATGATTTATTGACTTCGCCACGTTTATTGAGAAAGCCCTCTTTGTCAAAGGGTGGACTGGTCGCGAACACACACAAATTCTTTTCATTGATTTTCATCTTGGTGCGCCTAGTACTATTGCCAGATAAATGTGTCATACATATCTCTACTAAAGATATCGTACATTTTTTTCGAAATGAGTTAGCAAATAGATATGTGCAGATAGAAATAGCAGAAATATTGGGCTTAAAACACAAAAAAAAATTTTTTTTGAATGTTGAGTAAAGATGAACTAAAAAAAATTTTTTGTACTTCTTTTTTCAAACCACAAAATTTAATTGCCTATTGAAAGCCTTTTTCGCTGCAATATGCATCAGCTGTTTGTAGGGTTCTTAACCAATAATGGAGTTGCCATTGTTGAAATTATAATGTCTTTATGTTTATTCGCATATTGCAACAACTGGACAACATGTAGCTGTTACTGAACTCGTCTACTCTGTAGAGTAGCAAATCATCAAATGCAACAAATAAATTTCTCGTTGTGCTATCGTTGGCCATAACAAAACCAACTACAGCACATAACTTAATTAATTAACTTATTGGCAACTTTATCAAGGTTGAAATTAAGATCTTCATGTTCACATTAAACCTTTTTTAAGTAATATAGTGAATCTTCGGTTGTTGATTTGCTGTTCTGTAGAAGAAGAAAACGAAGAATAAAGTAAAAGACACCATTTTCACTTTTTGTAACCTTTCGGGAAAACAAATTTCATTAACATCGTGAGTAATTTAAAATAATTTTAAATCGTGAACTTGTGAATGTACTTTCCCTAACTGTCGAAACCACAATTATTTTTTCTTCCTTTTTTTTAATTGACTATGCTACCACTATAAACCATTGTTAATCATTGTTAACCATCTCAAAATTAAACAATGTTAAGTATAAATAAAAAGTATTCTTGATAAATCGTTGCTAAATTGTACATTTCTATTCCAGACAATCGCCTCCTTATTGTAAATCTAGCACTAGTAAGATAAGCATATTAATGAAATAAAACATATTACAAAAGTTTAGCAAATTACGCAGAATAAAAATTATTCCAGAAGAGAATCATGGCGTATTTGCTAACAGAAATAGCGTTGGAAATGTTGGGCTGTAAATTTTATGACATTCATGGAGCCCATCAAGAAATGAACGATTTTCAGCAAAACACTCAGCGCCCTGAAAATCTTAATCCGGCCGAAAATTTGGAAAATATTGTTAATTATCGTAGGACGACGTCTCCAGCAAACTTGCAGCAAATTTCAGAAAAAAGTAATGACAAGCTACAACAAATTCCCTTGTTCAAATTAATGGCTAAGGAGTATGGTATTGTAAAGCAGCAGATTCTTCATAACAAAGAAACAAACTTAGAAAAGCAGGTCGACAATAACATCACAAGCACCAGAACTGCTCAAAGCTTAGTACAAAATTTTGTAGAAAGCGAAATTGTAAAGTTACGATGTGAAACACAAACTCTACACAATTTTAGAAGATTAGTAGAACAAAACATTTTGAAAGTTAATCCAATATCTTTCGAAAAATATTTACGTTTGTTCGCCACTAGCCCGGCATCAGCTAACTCAAAGAGTTCGCCAGTAAGTATGAAATAGGAAATGTAATATATGAAATATAGTCTTTGCTTTCAAAATGAATTTATTGTATTTACTAAGAGAAAATAAGGTAAGCAAAAAAATATTCTCCAATCGACCAAACAGATTACAGCAAAATGAATCAATCATGAGATGTGTCTTACGTCGTCATATGCAATAAGTAATAGCGATTTAATTTTTTAAGTCAATAAACTACCCAAGAGTTACATAATTTCGGTGGTCATTTGGAGTCCAATTAAAATGCGTGACTTTAAGCCAACCAGTAGTATTGCAGGCTTAGGAGAATTGAAAACTTACAAAACTCCACAAGGAAGAAAAGACAAGAAAATTTGTGGAAACAAGTATTCAAAGTCACAACGTTGTAAAAAAAACAATTATTACCAAATTCTATGAGAGGTCACTATGCCAAGGAAAAATAGGAATGCATAAGAATAGTGCGTTTCCAGTAATAGAACATACAAATTCAGAATCACCGACGCTGTTATCTTCGAACTTTGTTGAATTATTTTTCATTTATTTTGTCGTAAAAAGAGTTCAAAGAGCTGAGGGATCCTTATATTACAAAAAACTATACATAAACGTAGTTAGACGTATGCTTGAGTATGCCTCTGTTGTGTGATCTCCTTCATATAAGTGCTATGTAGATTCAATTGAATCTGTTCACAAACAATTCTTGCCGTTTGGCCTTAGGAGTTTGGATTGGCACTCGCTTGTCTCTTTGCCTCCTTATGAAAATAGGTTGCTTCTATTATCGTTACCGTCACTTGAGAAACGTAGATTTATTGTTGGTGTTTCCATCTGAATTAAATTAATTAATGGTACTATCGATTCGTCCACATTAATTGGTGGCATAAGTTTAAATGTCCTTAACTACTTCTCTACGCACTTGATTTTCATTAAGCTAAGTCAACGTAAATATAATTATGAGCTGTTTAACCCCTTTAGAGTAGGTTGCAGAAACGTAAGTGCTGTCTATCTCAATATGGGACTCTTCAAACCCCAAAAAAATAGACGTGATTTTCCTAGGTCGTATTTAAGCTAACTTAACATCTCAGTACGATTCGAAAATTAACTGGTGTTATCGGTCACCAAGCATGTGTGCATTGCATGTTTACAATGGTTTAGGGGTTTACATGCAACTTGGATCTGTACCGGTTGTGCTCGCTGTGTACATAGTTTTCTTTCTTATTTATTTATACATGAATTAATTATTATTTAATTCTTTGTGTTTTTTTTTTATATTTTTCTTTTTTTTGTTTTTTTATTTATTTATTTTAATTCTACTTATACATGAAACTCAACTAAACAAATAACAGTCGAGTTCAATTGGCACTTAAAGCAAAACTTATTTTAAATTAATAATAAAACTTAGTATAAGTACAATAAAACAAGTAAGAAGAAAAAAAAAGAAGAAAGCATGTACACAACTAGCATAGAGTCACACCCACAACCGATACAGGACCAAATTGCAAGTGAACCCCTAAGCCATCGCAAACATGCAAAAGCTTGGCAACCGATAATTGTTAACAACAATTCATTTTCGAATCGTAACGACTTTTTAAGGTTAAAAGATAGTTTAAGTACGACATAGGTAAATCGTGCGTATTAAACAATGTTGCTTTAATGGACTTTAAAGAGTCCGATAATGAGAATAAGTGGTAGACGTCATTTAGATTCTTGCAAACTACTCTGAGCAGATTAAAGAGCTCATAATTATATTTACACTGACTAAGCTTAACCAAGATATAGAAGCGGTCAGGGACATTAAAGCTTATCTCACCAAGTAATGCGGGCGATAGCACCATTTATTACTTTGATTACAAAGAAAACGGCAAGAACAAACCTACGTTTCTCAAGAGACGGTAAGGATAACAGAAGTAACCTATTTTCACAGGGGGGAAGAGAGGCAATCGGATCCCAACTAAGCGCAAACAGCAAGAATTGCTTTTGAACAGATTCAATTGAATCTACATAGCACCTATATGAAGGAGACCACACAACAGAGTATGTGTCTAACCAAACACATGTACAGCCTTTTCGTAATGTAGGGATCATCAAGGTCTTTGGACCACCTTTCTATAAAACCGAGCGCGGACTTAGCTTTGCTTATCGAGAGCTCAATATGCAAGTTAAATCGTAACCTAAGGTCAAATAGAACGTCTAAATCCGTGATCGAGTCGACGTCCTCCAACTTATGCGAATCTATGAAATATTGAGTAATCAATGACTTTCTTCTTCAGAAAGAGAGCTTCTTACATATATTTAGATTTAGTTTCAGAAGATTCAAAGAACACCATGCAACAAAATTATCCAAGTCACCTTGAAGCTGATGTGATTGCGATTCAACAGAGATGGAAGAAAACAGTTTCAGATCATCAGCATTCCTTAAGATCTGGCTGGAATCAACAACCGAAGGAAGATCGTTAATGTATAAACGGCACTTCAGTACATCATTCCATGCATTGTAAAAATACTACCTTTGCACAATGAACAGCGTACGCGCAATTTACCTTTACATAGTTTATTACACTGGGAGTAGTGTACAAAAAATTAAACCCTTTCACGTTCACATGCTGTAGAAATGTTGCAAGGGAATTGTTACTTGTCAATCCTTCGCATCTTTAAACATGCACAAATACCTGTCCCTGGTCCCTGCACTTTTTCTTCATTTTGAAATTGAACGTCTAGTAAAGTTTCGCATAACGATTTCGACGGCACTTCTTCAAAGGAAATGTATGCACACAGCATTCAAAGGAAATGTATGCACACAGCATGTATGCACACAGCATACATTTCCTTCGTTTGGCAACTCTTGCAAGCACTTGCTTGCACAGCATGTAACATGCTTTGTTGTACTAAATCACATTCCTAGTGAGAAACAAAGAGATTTTGCACGTCTTGCATAACTAACTCCCTAAAGAGCTAAATGAAAATTCGAAGTAATTTTTTAGCTGAGTTTATCATATATTGACCGTAATTTAAACTATTTGCGTGGGCTAACACGCATTACGCTTCCGCGGTTTTATGAATTCTTGGGATTACTGTTTTGTCATTGTTGGTTACTATCGTGCTTTAAAACCTTTCAGCAATAAAAGGAAAATGTGTAACCCATAATAGCGAATATCCGATCTGTATCTAAGTTTATCTATATGTTAAATTATTTAAGTTTGGTGAAAAAGAAATCCATTATTTTTATATGAACTTTAGGACTTTATTTAACATGCTTCGGATTGTCCGATTTGGGTCAAATATACACCGTTTTGTTGTACGATTTGTTGCCATTTTAAAGGTAACTTCAAAATGTCTCTCTCATAGAAGTCCTGGTCTCTATTTGCAAAAAACTCTAGTAGTCGATTTTCACAATCCTCCCTAGATTCCAATTTTTTATCATTAAAGAAATTTTCCAATGCAAGAAAATGATGATAATCGCTTGGTGCCAAGTCCGGACTGTATGGCGGATGCATTAAAACTTCCCAACCAAGCTCCCGAAGTTTCTGGCGAGTCACTGTAGATGTGTGTGACCTAGCGTTGTCCTGGTGGAACACGACACCTTTCCTGTTGGCCAATGCTGGCCGTTTCTCGTCAATCGCTATCTTCAAACGGTCCAGTTGTTGACAGTAGAGATCAGAATTCAGCGTTTGGCCATATGGAAGCAACTCAGTCCCACCAAATGCATAGCAAAACCTTCCTGGCCGTTAGTCCTGGTTTGACCACCGTTTGAGGTGCTTCACCGCTCTTTGACTACGATCGTTTTTGCACAGGGTTATCGTATGTGATCCATTTCTCATCTCCAGTCACCATCCGTTTAAGAAATGGGTCTATCTCATTCCGTTTGGCCAAGGCTTCGCAGATGGAAATTCGATCCATCATGTTTTTTTCTGTTAATTGGTGTGGCACCCAAACATCGAGCTTCTTTTTGAATCCAGCTTTGTGTAAATGGTTTAAAACTGTTTTATGGTCGATTTTTAGCTCCTGGGCGATGTTACGACTGCTAACATGCCCGTCAACTTCGATCATTTCTCCGATTTTATCGACATTTTCGACAACCGGCCTACCTGTGTTAGGTGCATCTTTAACATCAGAAATTCCTGAACGGAATCTACGAAACCAAAATTGCACATAATTGGCTGTTGCAGTATCGGAACCATAAACACCATTCACAATTTTAGCCGCCTGGCTTGCATTTTCGCCTTTGTCAAAGAAAAACTGTAAAATGTACCGAATTTTCTCTTTGTTCACTTCCATTTTTAACTCACAACTGAATGCACCAAACAAAAAACAGCAAAAGAATTTTTTTTACTGCGAAATGTCACCTTTCCAACGAGCATAAATATGAAATTGTTTGATCGATACTTTACGAGAAATCTATCAGTGCAGCCACCTACCGAAAAAATAATGGATTTCTTTTTCCCCAAACTAATATAAATTTTATTTCGAATATCAGTTCAAATGTAAGAAAAAAGT